TGGTGGCTCAAGTCACTTATATGATTATTGTTAAGCCAATCATGTGGGCACTTGCGTGAGATGTCCAAAATACAAAAGATATTGGGAGGTTGATTCAGATAAGCACACATGGTAGGGGATTATCATTGTTTTAATTTATTGTAATTTTGCACGTATCGAGTCTTTCAAGAATATTAATCTTTTTGATAAAGTGATTCAAAACTTGACGCATCAAGAAACTAGCCAAACTGTATTTGTATACATTTACTCATATTTTTACAATAGTTTTGCTATTTTAACCAAGAGAGTGACGTTCTAGGTGACCGAATTGTCACTCAGAGTATCACCCTGAGTGTTACTATAACAAAACTCTTTTTACAATATAATCCATTCTTACACTGGTACTTAATTCACTGGCCCTCTAAAATATTGGCTTAGTTGCTAAATGAGTTGTCCAAGGCATGTGTGGGCTGTTAATTAGATCATTCCAATCCAATAGTATCATGTGGACAGCTCCATACATGCAAATATTGAGGAGGCTGCCTTTTCAACTTGACAATTGGTTGGTTGAGAAAATATTTAGGTTTTCTAATTAGGAAATATAAACAAAATAATCATTCAAGAAATGTGGACACACAACTTGGTGTTTGAGGCCATTACCATGATGATTGAGCATGTTTGAGACAAGGCATAATATAATTGACGAAAATAACAACCCACTACTTATTTCTTCAATAAAATTGGAAGTTCAAAAAATTAAAAATAGAATTAAACACAACTGACTGCGGGAACCCTTTAAATATATATATATAGTTTTAACCTATCACTACTAATATAACATTCAATACAATAAAATCATATACGGATGCAAGTTTACTTGATTTTGATCTATGCGTTTTCATTAGTTTGTGATTGATTTTGAAATTCCTAAACAATCACTAGTATGCCTATGACATAAATAGCACGGCCTAAATAATAATTTTGAGATATTAAAGTTGCCCAAATCAAATCCAAATCACAAACAAGAGACAACACCGCAACAAATAATCTACAAGCAACATCTTCCAATTATATGCCCCCTGTTTCTACTTGCTCATTTCCTAAAGCAAACCAGGAAATTCAGGCTGAGAAGTTATATGCCCCGTTTGATAAACATTAATGTAAAAATGAGAATGAAAAATATAACCGTTACAAATTCTACACAAGAGAGAGTCAAATATAATAGCTTGATGTGATAAATAACGGTCATATTTTTCATTTTAATGAGCAAAAAATAAGAAACAAGCGGGGACATAAATAATAATTTGAGATATTAAAGTTGACCAAATCAAATCCAAATCACAAACAAGAGACGACACTGTAACAACTAATCTACAAGCAACATCGTCTAATTACATGCCCCTGTTTGGCGTAGTTAAAAAAATAAAAATTATGATAAAAATCTAAATCAAAGTCAATAATTAATTTTAATCACATATTTCATGAGACCCACAAATTTTATCAAATTTCAACAATACATCATATCAACTATTATCAAAATCTACCATGGGCATGTATGAGGGTAAAAACAATTGTATACATTTTAATCAATTTGCATAACCAAGGGAAACCATCGAGAAAGAAAAATGATGAATGGGGGATAATCTGTAAAACAATTTAGCATACAGATGCATCATAAACATCAAGCATACATTCAACAACATGATCACAAACTAAACACTACTCAAGACATTAAAATCAATAACATGGTGGAATCAGGAATGCCAAAAAGTTCCCAAATTTCCTCAAGGAACAATTTGATGAATCCGAACATCAAGTTGAAAATTCAAAGACTTCATAATCACCTATCATTAACAGAATCAACACCAAAGATCATAAACGATTCTTTGCAAATACAAGACAGGAAAATTAATAATCTTTTCTATTCACTGTTTAACACAGATTCAACAGAACCAGTAAAAATTTTGGGAGAATAATTGCCAACATTGTCAAAATGCCCCCAGTTAAAAGAGAGGGGAAGTTGTTCACATCATTTTACATTAAGCACATATTTGGTACTCATCAATAAATGAAATTAAGCAAAATATCCAACAATTAACAGAATTTTAACTTCTTTAGCTCTTTTATGTTGTCCAGCATTATCCAATCATCCTTGCCAAAATTGCCATAGTAGATACTTTCTGACCACTTCTACAAGCATTTTAATATCACTAAGAATGGGACCGATCAAGATAAAAAGGCAAGTATTAAAAATCCTTGGTCCAAATTAATAACTGAGCATCAGCAACCAAGTGACATAAGTTACTGGTAGAAAGATAGCGCAATAAAGTATGTCATAATCCCCTGATACTTGCAAAGGAATTGGAACATTGAAGAAAGTATCTGAAGTACTAACAGTAGATTTCAAATACTATTTAGATCAAAGTCATTGAAACAGAAATTCAACACTTGATTCTGGGCTAAGCATATCCAAACACTTTTGACAAGAACACAAATTTCATAATATTGTATTATCTTATAGTAAGTTCATTTCTAGCAGAAATGAGAATATCGGCAAGGAAAACCAGAGCGTTGATTCTTCACTTGGCAAGAATTTGTGGAGCTTGATTCTCCTGCTGCTGCTGCTGATAGTTCAGTGGCCTCCTGAAGAGCATGATGTGTGGCTCCGGACGGTGAACTGCATAATGGACCCACCCACGACTCTGCTGAACCCCAATCGCACGCCATTCATTCTAAAAATAACAAAATAAAGCCACATTAAGAAACCAAGTTCACGATTCTATATGAATGAAGAAAGTTAGTCTGCTGGAATCGTATATTGATTTCCAATTTAGTTCTGATCCATAATCTTAGTCTCCAAACAAAAGCCCATGAAATTTAACACGCAATCAATTCACTACAAATCCATTTATTTTCAATTAACTAACACACAGTAGCTGAAACAATAAAAAGTTAAATAAAAAAACCTTATCCCTTACCATACGAATAAGCAAGAATATGAAAAACTTACTTCAGAGAGAAGACGATTCTTGGGAAGCAGTTTAGCCACTTCTGGTGGAAGAACAACGTGCCTGAAAATTCAAAAATTGCCCAAAAAATACAAGATTAACCTCAAAATAAAAAATTTAAAAATATATGTATAACAATCAAAAAAATCAATTAAATTAGAAAAACACCTGTACTCGTAGGTGTCGTCGAAATATTTCTCAGAGTACTGGATCTGAGCCATTTCGTATTCGCGTCCAAATCTCACGATTTCTTGATTATTGAATTATCACTCTAAAAAAAACAATTAAGAAGAAAGAGAAGTCAAAGAAAAACCCAAATTTGAACAACTATATTTTGAAGATAGTGAAGAAATGCATACATGTGTAATGTGTTTGTCTGTGTGAGAGAAATGGAAACACAGGTCGGAGAATTAAATAATGTGTAAACGTTCTAATTGTGATGATTTTGAATTTCAAAATTTGAAAAACTTTCCCACTTTAATGGGCATCAACGATAACGTTCATACAGGGATTGATTACTTTTGCAAATTATCGTCTCTGTTTGGCAATCTATTTTTAGTCCTCGTTTGGTTCTGATTTTTCACCAAAAAAATTAATTTTTTTACAGTTACTTTTCTAATTTAACCGTCATTTTTTTATTTCTTCACTTATATGTGGCTCCCACTTTTCTTTCTAAAGGTCAAAAAATTATTTCTCATAATCAGTACCAAACAGAAATTCATTTCATCATTAATTTCAACTACATCTTAATAATTACTACTTATTTATTATCGATTGTGCTATCAATATTCTTCTTTATAAATTTGTCAAACATAGTGACCCCATTGATATGATTAAGAACTTATGTTGAAATAATAAAAATTAAGGACTTGATTGTGCCCCATTATTTGTAAACAATGTATTATGAAATAGTAATTGATTTTGAAATGTGTGGTTAAAAAAGAAGAAATTTTTTTATTTACGCGTAATATTATTTTAACAAAGAATGTGTTGTTGAAAATGATACTATAGAAAAAAAATGTGACAGAATGATAGCAAACAAAGTTTAAAGTTTAGATGAGCCGAGTAAAAAAAGGTTTCGGATGATCATATCGAATTTCAGTGACTGCATAGGACCTCATATATAAGTCCTCACATTTTAAAAACTTTTGTTCCTAAAAGTTATACTAACCCCCTATTTGATAGGGATTAAAATTAGATTTTTAATAAATTTTAATATAAAATTTTGAAATGTGTAATTCAAAAGTTGTGAAACCAATCAAATATATGATTAAAATTAATTACTCGTCTTTTTTTAAGATGCGTTTGACTGTCAATATTTTTCATGAAAAATGTGATTTTTTCACCTCAAATTTCTACTTTTATGTTATTTGATTGACATTTTTTCCCAATCTGCAATGCATTCAGGCTTAAATCCAGATTAGACATGTATCAATGCATGATTGGACAATTTGAAAATTTAAAACAAAAACTCAATCATTTTCTAACATAATAGTCTGTTTCTTTACTCCCTATTTCTAAGCCTAACTAAGTGGCTTTATTCTTTTTTTTTAATGCAAAATAATTTCTTACTTTTGATCACGTAACTATATTTTTCTCAAAATCAAGAAAAATATTTTCTTCAAAGGAAATAGGATTTTATAATCTAAGGAATTCGCTCGCTCTTTTTCTCTCTCGTCTATTCACTTTCTCTCATCAACACACCAATAAAAAATTGAAAAGTTTAATATTTTCTAAGTTGAAAATTAAATTAATCAAACACATTTAATTGACAATTTACATATAAATAAATTATAGACAATTCAATTATCTAAAATTTATTTTTTTCATGCAAATTTCATACTTTCAATGAGATGCACCCTTAAATTAAATTCTAATTTAAATTAGTGCCAAATAGGGAATAAGTCTCAGTAACAATTTTTGTGGTTTATAAATTAAATGCAAAATTTTAATGAAATTAATTTATCGACAATTTTTTTCCATTAAGTAATAAAATTAAAATTAAATATCTGAGATGAAAAAAAGTTCCTAGATAACAAAATAGCAATTAAAATACTAACTCAAGATTAGCAACAGAGATTTTCGCCAATTGGGTCCTAATCACGTCAAAGTAGGAGTTACTTGGAGGCAACATAGATGAGCCGTAGCCGATAATCATGGCCATTGTTCGTAAGCTTGCATGCCAAGCCCACTCTAATCAAGGGCGAAGCCAAAAAAAAAAATTCAGTGCGGACGATATATCAAAATACTACCACTCTTATATTTTAAGATGTGTCGCATCATATATTCAAATTCACCAACAATCATGGCGGACACAAAATTCAATAACTAACATCTAATTCGAACCACTACAACATAATTAAATTTATGAACTCCAAAGAGGTAAAGCTTCTTTCTGTGAATTTAGCATATTTAATAACTTACATAATATCTTAAATACTGCAACACTACTCAGTTAAAAATCTGCAATGTGTGTCAACAATTGAACTTTGTAGAAACTATTTGCATTTTCAGAAATTGGGTCCGTCCCTGACTCCAACACCCAAGCTGACTCGCATAATGTGCAAGATGCCAAAGACTATAACTTGAGTAGTCTTAGATTTAGAAAAATAAATGACTAGAAGTCAGTAAGTGTAGGGCTTGGGCGAAACCCAGCCATGGGATAGATTTATTGAGGCCCAATGTAAAGCTTCGGCCAACTTAACCACATCGACCACAGGGTTGCCTAGGGAGCTTATGATTAGAGTCTCCAATGTAGGAGGATTTAGAACCCGCAATGCCTTTGCAACATAAGGCAAGGCTAGGAGCTTAAGCATTAGTGGGGCCTAATGGGCAAGGAAGAATATAAGTTGGTTAGTCCTGATCATTGTTGACAGATATAAAAATAAATAAAACTTCTAAAGAATGTATCACGCCATCAGTCCGAAGTTATAACACATCCTACCACCACCACCCCGATGAGAGAAGACAGATGACCTAAACAAGACGTGGTAGCTGGAAACAGGTTGGTGCCCCTTAACAATTGCTATTAAAGGAAAGATTGTAAGTGGCTCGGACAAAAGTGACCCCCTTCAACTATCCACTTGGGTAAGTGACGTGACAGGTCAACCAACCATCTAGTTTTATCTCGTGAGTGGGAAAGAGCATGCCCAAGAGATAAAGGGTCTGTTTGAACCCTATTATATTCTAATAGTGCATTTTGGAATAATAAATTGATAAAGAATGTGTAATTAAAAAATAAGAAAAATTTTTAAATTTGTGTGTAATATTATTGTTATTCCACGTACTAAGTTGGCCATCAAAAAGCAACACGGAAAAACCCTACTGACGTCATTAGAAGAGCCAGCCTCGAAAACACACGAAAAAGTGAAGCAATAAGGTTACGGAGGCTACACAGCCGAAGTCCTTATTCCAACCGAGGTGCCACTCGATCGAGCCTATGCCAAGGCCCTGACGAAGGGTCCATGCCAAAGTCCCTATGTTCATCACCAGCCAAAGTTTTGAAAAGAAGAGGCTAAAGTTCTAAGAGACAAAGATGCTTTCATATTTGCCGACCTAGCGAATATCTTTATGAAAAACTGATCGAACGTTTACTTTATCTTGTGATAGGAATCTCAGCCTAGGAATTTAGGGTGGTTGACTCTTTTGCCAATGTAATAAATGCATGTGTAAAAAGGATGTGATGTATAGAAGAAGGAGGTAGGGGTACATAGTTCGAATCCAAAGGCCACCACGTCATCCCCAAACTCCATAAATGCCCTCCCCTTATAGAAGAAAAATTAGAAATATGTGGAACAATAGAAACAACACATATAGAGAAAAAGGGGGGGAAACCCGAGAAAAAGAACAAGGAACGGGCATACTAATTTTTGGCATATTTTTTAAGGGAAAAATAAATACAACTCCATATATTTCTTGTCATTGATTGTGTCCCTTTTCTACTCTCTTTTATCATTTACTTGCAAAAGTTTTGATCGTACTAGGGCTAGAGTATTGTCGCTCGTTTGCAAGCTTTCCGGTCACTTTATTGGTGCTTAAATACATATTGAAAAATAAAAAGCAATGTATTATTTAAATAATTCAATAGTAGTAGGACTATAGGCATTCAAAAAACATGATTTTTATTTGATGTGATATTTTAATATAATATAGATAAAGTAAATATTAACTCAGTTTCATTTAGCGTAAAAAATTTGAAAAAAGAAAAAAGAAAAGGACTACATTTATTCTGGGGAATAAATATTAGAGTGTTTAATTAGCATGAAAAATATCATCTAGAAAAGAAATCTTTTTTTCATCTTTTGTGGAAAATAAAAACCACATCTACCCAACGAAAATGTTTTCCTTAAAAACAAGGAAAATTAAGCTTATTTTCAAAAGTTAGAAAATATTTTCCATGTCAAAAAATTAACAATCAAACACCTCAAATTAAAATTTGAATGGAAAACTGATATTTTTCATGAAAAATAAATATAATCAAACACACCCTTATATACATGTGTTAATATTGTATATTAATTTAATGTTAAATTATGTTAGTTTCAAAGTGTACTTTTTTATTTGTTCAGAAGTTCAATTAATTTATCTAATCCTCCTTTGGTATCCTGTTTCATTATTTGGCTATTTTTCAATACACACATTGAAGTTCCGATACTGATTTCAATCAGCGCCACGTGCATAAACAGTTTATGTTGGGTCAGCTCGTTTACAGAAGACGAACTGGTCAATTCTCCATATTCCATTAAAATCAACAAGTTTCGATGATATATTCTTGTAATTTTCACTTCTCGTTGAGGCCATCCTCTCCATGACAAAAACCCAAAAACAATAAAAAAAAATAAATAAAAATTCCGCCAATCAAGAAATAGAGCCAGGAAAGCGATGCACCAAGTCAAATCCCAATTCCAAAGCACACAAGAAATGAAAAGTATGGACATAATGATGACCCAAGTGTCGAACAAAAGAAAACATGAGTTGGCTTCTATTTTAACATCTAAGAATAAGCACCGTTAACAATCTGGTTGAAAAGTGAAATCCCACTTGTCGATTCAATTCAGAGCTGTGCATCTAAATATAGATTCAGAAACTCCAAAATGTACTTGTGAATTTCAACTAATCCAGCTAAAAGATGGTAATATTACAAAACTTGCTCAAGTAATGTAATATCAGCCACAACAAAATTGCATACATACACCACCTTCAACCCTATACATTATGCAAAATTAGGCCCTACAGTTCAGAAAGACCTTAAAAGAAAAATCCCGCATATCCTTTCCAACGGCTGATATTTCTATTTTCGAAAAAAAGGTGATATTTTAAGACTTGGAGACTGATTTATGCAACACGGTCGTTCCTTGAAAGATCATNCAAATCCACTAATGTGGACCAGTTTGGCTTTTACGGGTTTTATATGTCGCCAATCCGATGATGGGTTGCAATTGAGGTTATGGTGCT